TCTTTTCCAGTTACACCATATGAAGAGAACTTATGGAGTAAACTAACATGCTAGACATTATCGAAAGCCATTGTCTCCATTTAATGTGCAATATAACTTTTCTGTTATAACTGTTTTATAAGTCGGCTGAGAAAGGATTAAAATCTGTGTTATTTATATTTATAATATTATTTTAGAGTAAGTTGTTAAACTCAAAATGAGATATTAGAAGTTTGGTTAATAAAGACTCATATTAGACTTTGCTTATAATAAATATTAGACTTTACTATAATAGAGATAATGATAAGTGATTAGAATGTTCTCTAGAGAATTTAAAAGTTGGAATTATAGATGCCATTTTCCAAGCAAATAATAAAAGAGTTTAAAGAGAATTGAAAAAAGTATATCTCATATATATGTTTTTAAATATATAATATAAAGACGTTTTTAACAAAGGTAAGTTCAATATTCTCCATCTCTAAAACATGTGTCTGATTTTATTACCTCTCCCAAGAATAAAGCAGAACTAATTGCAAAGAAATTTTTTTCTAATTTGATTTTTGAATCTAATGGCCAAACTCTTCCTGTTATTCTAGAGAAAAAGGTTAATCTATTGTTAGAGATATAAATTACTTTGGCTTCTGTTGCTAAAGTTAATTCTTTTTGCTCCAGACAACATTCCTGTCATAGTCTTACAAAATTGTTCTCCAAGTTGGTCATATTTTTCCTGTCATACCAGTTAAACAACTTAAATGAACGCATTGTTTGACATCCAAATAATTCTGGCTTTGAATGCCAAAGTTAATTCTTAATTAAACACCTCTAAAGTTTGTGCTTGTCACTTTTACAAGATTTCCATCATAGTTGTAAAAAAGTGTTCTCCAGAACTCTCTTCAATTTTCATTAAACTTTTAAAAAAGGCTAAATAAGTGGTTCTAATTTTCTAACTCTAGAAAACACTTCGACCTCTCTAATTATCCTATGATTAGTCTTCTTTCTGTTATTAGTTTCTTTATAAAAAGTTTTTAAAATTATTAAATTATTTACTTTTAATGGCAGTATTAAAGTTATTCTTGAAGACCTACACTCTTCTTTATTTGGAGTAATTTTAAGTGGTACTACAAGGTTTTATCTTTGCTCCTGTATTGTTTCTTATCTATAATAACAATTTTCATGAAAATTTTTACATCTAAAGTGGGTCTATTTGCTGACGACTCAACTTTATACTCTTGTCTTGAAAAAAATTCTCTCTTTTTGATGGCTTAAAAAGTTAATTTTTAAAATGATCACTCTCCTGTAGTCTAAGGCTTGCAGCAGCTTGTGAATTTAAAGTCTGAACCTAAAATTCACTATTTTTTTTAGACAACAAAATATTGCAATATTACTGGCATTTGTATAATGACAAATAACAACCTTCTTACTCTCAGAAAAAGTCTAAAAGCACATTGTAAATGTAATTAAACCTGCTTTATCTGCCAAGCCTAAGCCACTTGTTGTATTTCTTACTTTTTACGACAAATACTATCATGGTCAATGCTCAAATGAGCTATCATCTCTATTGCGATAAACCAAAACTCATTCTTGCCCAGCTTCTCATTCAATAAGTTGCACCCTTTTAATGTATCTGTCCCTTCATTCTATAAAAACTTCAGTTATAAAGTTTTCAGTTAACCATTTCCTAGTACTTTAACTTATTCTTTATTTTAAAATAACTCATAACATAATAGTGCAATCTTGCAAATCAAAATTGCAAACAAATACAAGATTGCAAACAAATACTTGCAATCTTGTTGGAAGTAAATTAGAGTTTGAAAATATATAAGTATATGCCAGTACTTAATAAATAGTAAATGTAAGCATAAAATTATAATATATATAAGTATTTGTCTATATATATATTTATATATATATATATATATATATATATATATATATATATATATATATATATATATATATATATATATATATATATTTATATTTATATATATACAGATATTCGTATATATACTGAAGAATTTAGGGAAGTAATTACATTTTTTCCTTTTTCTAGCAGTCATGCTCTAAGAATCACAAGGAAAAGAAAATTTCAGGGGCACAAGAAAAATCTCAAATCTTTCAAAGAGCTGAAGATGATATTTATGATGTGCCACCAGCTAAAACAAAAAACCTACTTGATAGAACAATCAGTTTACCAGCAAATGTATTAGGTATGTATATCATTGGATTTAAAAAGTTTTTTTATAATAGGTTGTTTGCAATAGGTTGTTTACAATAGGTTGTTTACAATAGGTTGTTTACAATTAGTTTAAATTGTTATAAAAACAATAAAGTTTTTTATAATTGGTTGTTTACAATAGGTTGTTTACAATCACTATATATTATTGTTGAACTTAGTAGTAGTAGTAGTAGTAGTAGTAGCAGTAGCAGTAGCAGTAGCAGGATAATTGCTTACTTGTGCGTGTTTGACACAAAACTTTTGGCAGCCACTGCAACTGAGGCAATAGCAAGAAAGAGTCGCAGCACTTTATTTATTAAGAAAATGTGAATGAAAGTGTATGCAAATATCTAATGTATGTAAACTTACAATTATGCAATTTTAAAAAATACTTAAACATATTTTTACAAGTTTTACAGTTTGACTTTCACTTGAAAATTGCATTGCATCAACCTCTCCTTAATTTTGATCTATAGCATTTATTTCCATTTTAAAAAAAAACAGATAAATTGAGTTCCTGCAAGGAAAATGAGTATACAACATGTTTATATACAGAATATAAAATCTATAGAACTATAAAGTTGTTTTGTTTTTTGGAATCTTAAATAACAAAAGTTTAAAAAAAACAAGCTGATGATTTGAACATGCCATGTGGCAACCTTAACTTTTTTTAAAAAAGTAAGGGGTTTTAAAAAGTATGTTCTTATTAAGAACATAATTGAAAATTCTTATTTCATATTTAAATTAAACCATTTTTTTAAATTTATTATTATTAAAAATGATTAAAAGTTAAAACTATTTAGTATTGATATAATAACGAAATATAGAGTTTTACCGCTATTTTACCACGCCCCCATTAAAAATTCTAAACCCAGTGCACAACAATGACAGAATTAGATAACCATCAAAATAGTATAATCCATTATTTTTTGGCTTAACTTTTAGATTAGGCATGTCCATAAATTACCCAAGGCTAAATTTCACTAATGAACAAAACAAAAAAGATCAAAATTTTCCCTCGCAAGTTAAATAAAAAATCAAAATAGCTCATTAAGTTTTATAAAAATTCCCATGTAAAAGAACTTAAGATCTCCTTTTTCTTTTTAAAAACAAATTTAGTGTTGCGTTATTTATGAATGATCCCTTAGCGTTTTATAGTCAATAGTTTTTAATGGTCTAAGATCTTCCTAGTTAATGTTGCATACAACGTTGCATACAAACGTCTGAATTTTATAAAAATTTTTTTGAATTTTATAAAAATAGACTTACAAAGGCCCGTATTTTTAAAGGTTAGATCAACTATTTAGTTTAGGTTGTTGTATAAACAATAAAGTTTTTCACAATAGACTGTTTACAATAGGTTGTTTACAATTAGTTTAGATTGTTGTACAAATAATAATTTTTTTTTTTGTCTTTTTTTTTTTCAAATGTAAAAATTTTTGAAAATTTATGTTGTAAAAAGTTTGAAAAGTTATAGACTTTTAATAAACAATTAAACAAAGTTCACTTTATTCCGCAATTACCGTATATATTTATTTCAATGTTTTTAAAAAGAATAGAGCAACAACAAAACCGCAATTTTACTTCAATTTTACTTCAATTTTACTTCAATTTACGCAATTTCTTCAATAAAACTCGTTATTAATAAAAGTTAGTTTATACTAAAAATTAATTTGTAGGTTTATAATTATTAGAAAATTAAATTCATAAATTAAAGTCATAAATGTTTTACCTACTATATTTTACATATTTTTTGGAATTAAACACATTTGTAGAATATATTGTTTTTTCTGTTTGTTTGTAGTTTTTTTTTTTTTTTTTTTGTATAGGGCGTGAGGGGGCAAGCTGCCCCACATCCCTTAGAACTATCAATCGACGCCCCCTAAAACATTGAAAAAAATTTAAAATTTAAATTACCAATGAAAAGCAAAACGAAAAGAATAAAAAAAAGTACAAATGGAAAGAGAGAGGAACTATTTTAAAACAGGTTTTAAAATATTCCCTTTCGAAATATTGATATTAAACTCTGAAAAGAGAAACATTTGTATAAAATTCTGCGAGGACAAACATATGATGGTGTTTATGTAATGTTTGTTCATTGTTGTGCTCATGTTTTAAATTTGGTGAATATCGAAGCAATGTCTGTAAGCAGCGATGTCCAGATGTTTTTAAGCACAGCTAAAAAATTGTATATGTATCTTACGTCTAGTTTACCATGACTTCATATTCTCCAAAAGCACCAGAAACGTCTATATGAATCAACAGTAGACATCCTGAAACAACCTTTTTGATACAAGATGAGCAAGTAGGAAGCATGCAGTTGATGCTGATGTTGAATCTTTTTTTGCTATTCTAGCAACTCTAGAAGATATAAATTTAGTAGAATCTAAAGAACATACAGGAAATGTTAGAGCAGAAGCTATTGGACTATCAGCTTTAATAAAAAAGCATTTTTTTGTTTTTCTAATGGTATTTTTGCTAAAGTTTTAATCAATCTTTAAGTATTATCTAACTAATTGATATAGATATTTTGTTTGCAAAACAGTTGATTGATGTTACAAAAAAAAGTTTGTAGATATGAGAAACAATGTAGCTTTTGAAGTTCTACATTAAGCTGACAAATCATTTATAGTAAAAAATGTGTCAAACTAGATATCGAAACTGAATTTAAAGAAAACTTGTCTTTCTTAAATTTAAATTTAAAGATGTACTTCAGTTCTTGATTGAGAAACAGATAGCATCTGGTCTTCCTAATATGTCTATACTTTACAAAATCTACTTGACTCTTCCTGTTACATCTGCTAATGCTGAAAGAAGTTTCAGTAAACTAAAGATTATAAAAAATTATCTTAGATCAGCAATGACAATGAACATTTTTCTGTATTAGCATTAATTTCTATTGAACCTGAGCTTGCGGAAAACATTGACTTTGACTTGTCAATAAATCGTTTTGCTTCAATGAAATCTCTCCGAATTTGTGTAAACTACCTGAAAACTGAATTTTTTTTATAAATGCTAACTTTTGTAATATGTCTAGTTAAAAACATTTTTAAATGACCAAACTGTTTTAGTAATATTAAATGTTTCTTATTTTATAAAAGATAATTGTTAACTAAAATAAAAAAAGGAAACTTAAAAAAAAATTAGGTTATTTAGTGTCTTATATGTATGTAATATGTATAATAAAAGACACGTAAAAACACTTATAAAGTGTTTTAGTCATGAAAATAATTTCTGGGGTGTAAAATATCACACCCAACCCCCGGTCACCTCCTATTTATTGACATGGCTCCTTGCAATACTAAACCTCAATCCGCCACTAGCATAATATTTCCAAAAAAAGTTTAAAAATTTAAAAAAATAAACTGGTTCTATACCTAGGTATTGTAAGTTTTTTGGTAGATTTCTAATAACACGTGTGAAGTTTGATTTTTATTTTACAACCCTAACATTTCCTTCAATGCAGAAGAAGTTTATGTATTTACACTCCTTATTGTTATACCTCCCCACATCAATTATTGGCTCTCAAAACTGTATTTTTTTCATTAAAAAAATTCTTTATACTTTTTGATTATTTTTTTTAAAACTTTTATCATCTGAACATGTTCTGTAAAAAGTTTAGAAGTGTATAACATAAAAATAATTTTTTTTAATTCAATTTCATAATTTTTAAATTTTTTATTTTAGCAAGTTTTATTTTCAAATTTTAATTATATTTAACATGTGATATTTTAATTTTAAAAAATAATTTCCTGAAAAGAAGGAATTTCATTGACTAAAAATTGTTTTTTTCTTAAAATTAGCACATAAGTTCTGACATACTTTCACCAGCTTTCAAAGAGAATTGTAAGAATCTTTGGATAACTTTTCATCATAGAAGATTTTTAATAAAGAATCTAACTTTTTGATAGCATTCATTGTTTTCCTAATGAAAACTAAAAACTTCAAGAAGTGTCAGAGGTTCAGGAAACAAAAATTAGGTTTCAAGCCGATGGTTGTCACATCTGTCAAGTTTAAGCAGGAAAGCCAGTTCATCAACTAAATAAAAAAATGTATAAATTTTCAGAACATTATGCAAGGTCCCCCAGATCACTCTAAAAGATAGCAAGACATTCAAGAAGAGGTACTAGAGCATTCTGAGGTGTTTTAGAACACTATGAAAATTTTTTGAAAATGAGTAAAAAAATTTCCTTGCTGTGCAAGAAAAATGTTTTACTCATTTTATCCAATTCAACAAAAAAGTTACAATTGCTAAACATTTGAGCAAATTTATTTTTATTGAACAACTGTAATGCGCGGGATACCATGCAAAGTAATTATTACAGCTCTTTTTTTGGCATATGGTTTTTAAAAATAAAAATTTTTACGAATATATAATATTTTTGAATTTTTTTTTTTGACTATAGAAGAAAAGCATAAATGCATCAGATGCTTTATTCAGATATAAATAATAACATGGAGGTGCAAATCTTATTATTAAAAATTATTGCAAATCTGTGGAAAACATTTTGGTTCAGCAAACAATTATTTGATGATAAATCGTATGAACCTATGCTAGATCCATTGACTGAACTTAAGTGTACAGCTGCTTTAAAGTACTTTATGAAACACTGGAGCGAAGTAGATAATGCACTTCATATTTCAAGGACTAACATCATTGCTGAACATGGTGTTATTATGGTAGTAATATTATTAATAATAATTAATAATATGGTAGTATTTACTATTTTGTACTTTATATCCACAGTTTGGTACTTTTGTACATAATGACAGCTTGTTGCAGCAATTCTTTTCAGCAAGATAAGCTACAAATGATGATATCTGCTGTCCTCTTCTACCACTTTAACTCAGAAGGAGAGTGTTAATCACACAATTAAAGGTATCAAAATGAGGAAGTTGTGTAGGGTAATACAAAAGTTTATGAAAGCTGCAGATTTGAATGATGGAGCTTTTTGAATCAGTCACAAAGATTGATTTTATTTCTGGGTAAGGTACAACCCTCTCTCAACTCTTTAACTTCGAAATACAAACCTTGACAAGCAAGGCTGCTGCACGGAGAAATTAAGTTGAGCGCAGTTCTTCCAGGGGCGTGGTGGGAGTCAAACTCCGAACCTCTCACTTACAAAGTGAGCGTTCTTACCACTACATAACTACTGCATAAGTGCCACTGAATAATGTTTCCAAATACAAATCCACTTTGTATTTATACATCTCTATAGTATTACTATATTCCACATACCATATATCTCTGTATACATGGTATGTGGAGTTTCTAATAAAAGTGAAAGTAGGTTTCCTTTTTTTGCACATTTACTTGGAACTTGTATAAAAGATGAACATACAGTTTGACCTTCACAAATTACATTTTTACATAATGTTTCATTTCTGCCACACCTTAAACCATGAAGTTGGTTTGAACACATGTACGATTAAAAATATGTTTTATTTCCGATTTTTATGTATGATTAACAATAATTTTTATTTCCGGAGAGCATAATTCTTTTTTATTTTCAAAAAAAAACAATTGTTTTTATTGGTTGCCAAAATATAACCATCATGACAAGAACATTTGTATGTAGAATTTAAATTATTACATTTATGATGACAAATGATGATCTCAAATATACCATAAAGAGTAGTTTATATACAACAAATAATTAACAATAATACCATACTTATTTAGAGCACCCTCATTACCCCACTCACCCATCCCACCCACCCCACTCTGCATCACTTCTCTCTACAAATTTAGTGGCTAATTAAAATTTCTTAAATCCTTAGCGATACATCCCACTTTGTTCCCTCATCCATAAGCTCTATAGGCTCTATATACAAAATAGCAGTGTCAGGTAAAGCTGTTGTTGGATTTAATCATTTTTATTATGTTTTTTATCTCATTACCTTAAATATTATGTTGTATTATAGTAGTTTTAGTTGAATTTACTGATAATTGTTATTTTTTAGTTAAAATATTTTTTTTTGCTTGTTAACAACAATATATTATTGAAACAATATATATTATAATTATATTCTTATAAATGTGTTGATACAATATATATTTTAAATATATTCTTATAAACGTGTAAAAGATAAAAAAAAATTGCTAGTCACATCATAAAGATTGCAACAACTGTTGACTTAAACAGTTAGTTGATAAATTAGAAAACTGCAATTAACAATTGTTGGCTTAAACAGTTAAAAAAGAAGTCTAAAAGAATTGTATTTAACAATCAATTATAATGCAGTAAGCACCAGTAAAATTATATATCCAATTAAATTAGGGTTAAGTTTAAGTATCAGCAAATCTTTTACTTATGAAATTTTTTTAGTACCACCTGTACCTGATCGGCTACCAAATGTGAATTTCTCTGATCGTTCAGTAAAACGATTAGTACCACCATCACCTGATAAAAGCTTCTTAGTAAGAATTTTTTTAAAAAAATTTCAAGTTTCAAGCTAATTTTGTGTTTTTGTTTTAGGAAGTGGTGTTTAAGAATTATTTAAAAAAAAATAGTTTTTCCATTTATTATTGCAAATCATGGTATGATATGTCAGATAATTTAAAGATAAATTAAAGACTTCACGTTTTTGTAATCTTTCATGTTTCAAAAAAGTTTGTTAGATATAATCTATGTTCAAAAAAATATAAACAATGTGTATTTGCTTTTTTTGAAGAGGAATAATTATTTTTTTAAAAATTTATAGGAAAAATAAAATTTTTTATATCTTTGCATATCTTTATATAAAATTAATTTTTTTTTTTGTTTAAAGCAAAAGTTATTTTTAAAATAAAGTTTTAAAAATTGTTGGCCAATTAACTTAAGACAATGTTTACGGTTAACTATGTATAAAGGAATCTTATTTTTTATAATTCTGGGATTTATACTTTCATACAAGGCTTTTTAATGATGCAATTTATGACCTTAAAGTCTCAAATGCGAGGAGTCAATACTTCAAATTTATTTTATCTGGTTATTTTCGCAATAAAAGCTGGTTTTTACAAGCTTTATAACCTTGTTTAGAAAAAAAAAAATTTGACATTTGTGCAAGAAAAAAATAGTTTTTTTTTTGCTATTTTTTAAAATATTGTATACAATTTTTCTTCTGTTTTTTTAATTTATTTTTTACTCTTCTGTTTTTACTCTTTAATGTTGCTTTTTTTTTTTTTTAATCAAAAACAAATCATTATTACAGCAGTAAAAAGTGAACAGAGTTTAACTTGATTTTCTTATTCTTTACACAAAACTTGAGGTTTGAGTATCTGTGCAATTTATTAATGTTTCATAAAGAAAAGTTTGGTACAGAATTCCTAAAATACAAATTATTCTAATAATCTGTAAATTTTTGTAACTGATATTTAAAAAAGTTTTTGTTTATACAGCTCAATAAATACAACGATTTGCTTAAAGAGCAATATAAATATAGCAGTCACGGTGATAGTGAAGATGTTTATGAAATAATGAGTGAGGATTTTTTTTGTTACAATATTTGCTTTATATTTTAAAAACATGCTTTTTGAATAAGAGAAACTTTAGTGTTTATGCATTAGCTTCGCCTTATGATCTTGATCAAAATCCATCTATATATGACAAGCCCAAGTCATCTAAAAATGCAGACAAGAATGATGCAATTGAAATCAAAAATATTTGTGAGGAGATATATGATATTCCTCCATTAAATAATCAGTCTCCATTGAACGTCCAATGCAACAGAAATCAGCACTTGAATAATAAACAGCAGGACAGTCAGAAATCAATGTTTAGAAGACACACTGCACCAAATTCAAGTATGAATTTTTATATAACAATATTTCCTTTGCATTAAAATATTCCGATATTTTTAAAGCTAGTTATTTTCTTCATTTTATAGTAAAAAAAAATTTAATAATTTATATCAAGTAACCTAAGAATTACTTTAAGGTTTTTTTCTATGTACTATATTGTTTCTTATCTACAGTTTCCGCCTATTTTTAAATTAACAATTCTACAGGCATGCTTCTGAAAACTATAAAGTTTCTTAAGCTTTGCTGTTTGAGTACTTGCCCATGAAATGTTTGCATAGCTGATGAGGCTTTAAAACTTCTTCTTTCAATTTTACTAAACACCTTGCAATAAGTTTAAATTCCGTGGATTGCCCAGTAACAGGGAAAGAACATTGTTAGCATTTTCTTAGAGCTGTCTTGACAATTTTTGCCTGATGGCAAGCATAAATATATATACATATATATATATATATATATATATATATATATATATATATATATATATATATATATATATATATATATATATATATATATATATATATATATATATACATATAATATATATATATGTATATATATATATATATATATATATATATATATATATATATATATATATATATATATATATATATATATATATATATATATATATCGAAAGTAATACTATATATATATATATATATATATATGTATATATATATATATATATATATATATATATATATATATATATATATATATATATATATATATATATATATATAAAGTATTACTTTCAAGAACAGATTTTACATTAAAATGGATACTTACGAGGACATTAGCATTAACGGTGACATTTTAGTGTACTCAATAATTTTTCGTCCTCGTAAGTAGCGTTTTTTTGTAAAAAAACGTCCCCGTAAATAGTTTTTATGCAAAGCGAAAAGTACATACATTGACTATCTTATAGCCTGACTCGCAAGGGAGCTGCTACATCTAAGGGTTTGGTTTGTAAAAATATAGTAAAAATATAGAAATAAAAGTTGTGATTAACGGGGGAAAAAAAAAAGTACCCGTAAATCAAGCACTAGTAGTGTATATATATATATATATATATATATATATATATATATATATATATATATATATATATATATATGTATATATATATATATATATATATATATATATATATATATATATATATATATATATATATATATATATATATATATATATATATATATATATATAGCCATACTTCTATAATATAAGAAATGTTGAGTAATTGATAAATAAACTGGTTTATTGATTGTCTAGTTGCAAATATATTCCCCCTCCCCCCCTCCTTCCTTTTGGTTAATAATATGATTTTTCATATATTACATGAGAACGTGTAAAGCTTATTTCCCACACATTAATAAATAGCCATAAAAATAAATAAAACAAATTGTAAGTTATATTTAGTATTTTAAAACTACATAAGCGGATCAAATTTTCTGCAAGTTTGTTTCACAGGTCATTTTTTCCAATAAACTTCACATTCACATATTCCCATTTTTTTGAATTTTTAAGGAGATCTTCTATCAATTTAACACCATGTTCAGAAATGATGTTAGTCCTTGAAATATGAAGTGCATTATCTACTTCGCTCCAGTGTTTCATAAAGTACTTTAAAGCAGCTGTACACTTAAGTTCAGTCAATGGATCTAGCATAGGTTCATACGATTTATCATCAAATAATTGTTTGCTGAACCAAAATGTTTTCCACAGATTTGCAATAATTTTTAATAATAAGATTTGCACCTCCATGTTTAATAAGATTTGCACCTCCATTATAAGAAAATAGGCAATAAGATAATATGATGCTCTAGAATTCCATCTTGCATTGTACAATGGAGGAAGCTTATGCCATTTAATTTTTGGTAATTTTTTTTGATTCTTAAAGTAACAAAATGAAAACAAAACTCATAAAGAAATTTGAAGTCATCTCGTCATTCTAGGTTTATGTAATAATTAGGCTCAGCTTCATATGTATAATTTTTTTGAAGATTTTCATAATTTTCAATTAAATTCTTTACAAATTTATAATTAAAACCAGGAATTATTGATTTATAATCTACAAAATGAATCAAAACTGATTATATATTTAAAATGAGATCTCGTATTGGCAACATCCTTAATATTGTGGTTTAGTAAAGCCTCTGGTTTCCATTTCATTTTGTATTTTTACAACTCTATCATTTAATTTTCCTGAGTATATATCATTGTAAAATCATTGTAAGAATTGCTAAATGATTTAGATGCATTTCCATGCATCAAAATCATTTAGCAATTTATTTAAAGCTTCAAAAATATCATGGGATTTTCCGCGTTCACATTTAACAATTCCTAAATTGATTTTATTATTTTCATTTTGAAGTATCACAACTTGGTATTCAGTCTTGTTTATTTTCTTTCCATCAAAATTTAGGCAGAAAAGTTCTTCTTGTAGTATTTTAGTTTTCTTTCTTCTTTCTTTCCCCTTGTCTTATAGTTGATCTCCATATTCCTGTCTGACTTGTAGTTTCTTTTTACCTTTATATAATACCTTTTTCATCCGTCAGGGTGAAACAGATTCTAGGGTTTAACAGATTCTAGCTGATTTATTTGTACTTAAAGATTCAGTTATCACAAGATTAGATGCTAACTTGGTTTTATTGTATACTCTCTTTCTTGATTTCTTGATTTTCCACTGAACTGTAGTTGTCTTTTGAATCTAAATCTGAATCACGTTTTTCTAATGCAGTTAAACTGCTTCTTGAAAATTATTTACTTTGCTTGTCAAAGTTGTATCTTTTGCATATATATATATATATATATATATATATATATATATATATATATATATATATATATATATATATATATATATATATATTTTTTATAAAGATTTTTTTTCATAAAAAATTTCGTTTTAGTTATTGTTTTAAACTTTTTTGCTGCATGCTATTTCCTAATCCTCAGTTTCACTTTTTTTTATTAACAATTTATTTTTAACGAAACAGTTTTTATTATTAGTATTTTAGTATTCAGCCATTTAATTTTTTTCTTCAGTTTTTTTACCCAAGAAAAAAAAACAAAAAATTAAAAATACTAGGCTATTGGTTATCAAAGCAGATGATTCAAATAGGACATGTATAGTATTTAAGTTATTTACAGGGCGGCCAGAAAAAAAGGAGATTTCACCCCTATATATAAATATAAATAAATAAATATATATATATATATATATATATATATATATATATATATATATATATATATATATATATATTTATATATATAAGTATATAAGTATATATATATATATATATATATATATATATATATATATATATATATATATATATATATATATATATATATTATGTATATATATATATATATATATATATATATATATATATATATATATATATATATATATATATGTATGTATACATATATTAATTAATTTAAAATTATTGTGATTGTAATTCTAAAAATGTTTTTTTTTTTAATATTTTAAGCACATACATCTAATGGAACAATCACTGATGTAAGTTTAACTTTAATTTAAAGCGTTATTTTGTAGTATATATACATTAATGATATATATACATATATATATATATATATATATATATATATATATATATATATATATATATATATATATATATATATATATATATATATATATATATGTATATATATATATATATATATATATATATATATATATATATATATATATATATATATATATATATATATATATATATCAATAATGATTTAGTTTAATTGTTATGATTTTTAATTGTTGTTATTATTAACCATGGTAGGAACAGGTGTACATTCATTGTCGATATGTGTAAATTAGATAATTGATTTGATGACTATATATCAGTTTGTACATATAAATACAATAAATTCACTTCTTTTAATTTCACAAACATTTAGACAAAATTTGATCATCTGCTCAAATGACAAACTTTTGATAGTTGCCTAAATAGTTCCCAGATGATAGTTTTATTTTAATCAGATTGTGTACTATAGGGGTTTAGAACAATGTTTTATTTATATACTGTAGAGGTAAAGAACAATATTTTCACTTCTAAATACTTTGCTTTTGCACACGCATTCTTAATCAAAATTTTAAGTAAAATTCTTGAATATAATTTGAATATAAAAAAGATATAATAGATTAGCAAAATCCTGATAAAAAATAATTTTTTTTTTGAACTTTATAAATTTAAAAAAATTTTCAAAAAGTTGTTAAAATCCTCTCTTTTTCTCTCTGGTAAAGTTGTTATATTTAATGAGCATAATTGTTTTTTATATGGTACTTGTATTTCCAGTATCATTTTTGTTGCTTGTCTTTGTTTTCAAGGATATATCTTACAAGGTGACCAAACTTTAATTGCATACTCAAGGTATGGTGTGACATAATAGATGTCTAAAAGATGAATTAGCTTTGTATTTAAATATTTTTGACAATAGAAGCAGTCTACTATTTGCTTTGGATAATGCTGATTTAATTTGAGTTTTCTATTTTTAATCTTATGAAACTGATAATAAATCTTACATCTTTTTCTAACTTTATATACAAAACATTTCAATCCAATTTTAGTTGTACCTCACTTTTATTATGGAGTTCCATTTCATTACATGATGACCTTGGAATTGATTGCCTAATGGTGGTAACATGATTATACTTTGAACACAATTTTTATCGACAACAATCAATAGATCTAAAACATTTGTCCATTTTTGAATTCTTTTCAATTTTCAAAAAGTTAAAACTTTGGTAATCTGGTACAAAAGGTTTTCCTTCAAACAATTAATAATATTTTCTGCTTGTTTGTTTGTTTGTTTATATTCTGTCATTAGACCAAAATATTGAATTGTAATTAAAATCTCCAACTATTATTAAATTTGAGAAATGCTTTTGTTGAAATAATAATGTGGCCATATTTATTGATTTGATAATTTTGTTATTTGTCTTCTCATTTTTAGTCTGGAAGTCTGTAAATACAACTAAAGATTGTTGTTTTGACCAAATTTAACATTTATCTATATTTGCTCGGGTGCATTGTCTCCTTCATTAATGTTTATCTCATTCGATGTTAAAAATCTTTTATATAAATACATACTCTACTTCCACAGGTTGTGTGATCTTTTCTATATATTTGATCATTTTCAATATAAATGTCAGAGTTTAAATTTTACCATAATTCTGTAAAACTAAGAAAATCAGGATTATAGATTTCACACAACCTTCTTCAATTCTGTTATTCAAAGATGTCTCATTAGTATACGAACACAATAACATTGTATTAGGACAACTTTTACTAATTGATGTAGGAAATATCTTATTTGAACATTCCGAATATTCTATACCCTTTAAACTAACATTACTATTAGAATTACGAATTAAAGTGCAGTTCGCGATAAAAGTTTTATTTGCTAATCTATATATAATTTGCTATACTCTTAACTCAGTTTAAAGTCTATTCAGTTAAAGATATTTTAGTTAAATTGTTTTTCTGAATCTCAAAATGAAAATTCATAGTTTTATTATTCACTAAATCCTTTTTAGGCTATTTCTTTCTTGAATCAATATTTTTTTAAATACCCATTGTGTTGGTGTCAAGTCAAAATTTTTGAATACCTTTTAATACTTTGCATCTTTAATTTTTTTGCTAGTCTTATTGCCATAAAACATTCAATTTTAGCTTTCAAATTAAAATAGGACCTGGATTATATCCAGGTCCTATTATAGGTTGAGTTACATTTAAAGCGATGAAATCGCTTTAAATGTAACTCAACTATTAATTTGATTCTTCTTTTCCAAAACCAAAGAGATTTTTTTTTCTTTTAATACCATTTTGCTCAACACTGACAGTACTTAAAACATCAGCTTTAGGTGTATTTTAGAATTTGAAAAAATTGCTAAAAGTTTTTGGAGTTTTTAATTTTTTTAGAAATCACTTTTTCTTTTAATGATTGATTTTTAAGTAAAATTGTTTTGAAATTTTTTTCTAATAGCTTAATTTTTTCACTCAGCAATTTGTTGTCATGGAAACATGGAGTTTAATTGGTCTTCTAATGACTTTATTTTATCAGCCTGTCAGTATTCTATCAGCTTTCTCCATTTTCTTAACCTAAGTCAAAATCTAAGTCAAATCTAAATAAGTCAAAATCTAACATATATTTATTTTGTAACATTTTTTAAATTACTTTTTGCACAAAATTAAGAAGTATGAATATAACCTTCCATATCTTTAGTTCATTTATATCTGATAACTTTAGTTCTTTTATATGTGATATTAAAGTTTTAAACAAATAAATACTACAAATATTAAATATCAAAAAAAAAAATGCTACAAAAAAAATGTAATAAAAAAATTGGATATTTTATGAATTAGATTGAAAGGTCTGTTTTTACATGTATTACATAGATTGTTCAATAATTAATAATAATACATATATTTTTTTAAACTATTTTTTAACAACTTAAACTGTTTATTAACTGTTTATTATAATTTTTTAACTATTTAAATGACTTTTTATAAATTTCTTTAAGTTTTAAGAATTTGAAATTGAAAAATAATTAAAGAATAATATATAAAAAAAGACAAAAAATAATAATAATTAGTTTAATTAGATAATAATTAATAATTAGATAATACTAATAATAATTAGTTTTATAAATATGTGTGCATGAATAATACTAATAATAATTAGTTTGATAAATATGTGTGCGTGTGTGTGTGTGTGTGTGTGTTTGTGTATGTATGTGTGTGTGTGTGTGATGTAAGTGAAAGAATTAAACATACATGAGTGTGAAAGAATTAAGCATACATGTGAGTGGATGAATGAATTGAGTGTATATTATGCAAGAGTTACCATTATACATATATAAGTAGAATTAAATATATTTCTAGTCAAATAAAAGTTCACAAAAACAAAATGATACTACAGATTATTATGAACTGATGAGCAGCTCTTATTATGGTATTTTTTGAATTATTTTTTTGATTTATTTTTCTTTAAATAATTTTTTCATGTATTTTAATTTTTTGTTTTTTAGATAATTATTGAAAAGATTTTTACTAACTTATTTATTACTTTTACTTATTGCTTTATTTTTTACTTTTTTAATTTTTTACTTACTAACTTATTACTTTATTTTGCTTGGAAACCATTAGCTTCATCCAACAAACTTGTTCAACAAAACAATCCAGCGTGTGATAATGAAGATTTGTATGATAGTCCCACAAAAACTGCAGATTCAGACAATGATGAATATGTAGAGGTTAATGAATTTAGTACAGACTCTGATACAATATATGATGTTCCTACTGATACTTTTCAATGTGGTCAACACAAAAAAAATCCTAATTTAAAAAAATTACCTGATAGAATTTTTGTTTCACCCCTTAAAATAAACAAAGATGAAGCCTCAATTGACACATCAAGTTATCAAAAAGCCGCAAGCACAACTAGAAGACACAGTACACCAGTATTAAGTATGAAGCTATACTTTTAATTTTATAAATTACTAGTTTGTTCATTTTTTTTTTATTTAACATTGAAAATTATTTACAATATACTTTTATTACAAAATATTTATTACAAAATATTTATTACGAAATTATTTACAATATATTTACACAAAAAATTTTTTAAGTTTAACTTAAAATGTTTAATCACTATTTATCATATTTCAGGCAAAACTAATTTTTAGAATTTGTTAACAGCCAATTATCATCTTTATTTACATTTTCTTTGGTTTCAAACATGTCTTTAAAAAGATTTTATCTTTTTTATTCAAAATTGTTTGTAAAATTAAAAGGATTAGAAATTTTTTTAATTAGCTTTTATTAACACAAACAGGTGTTCATAACATATTATAATCATAAACAGTTCCAGAAGAATTAATTACAGTTCCATTTAAGAATTCATTACAGTTCCATGTTGTTGTATTTGAATGTTCACCAAAAGACATTAACAATGTTGAATTACATTAACATAAATATTGAGACATTCTTATTTACCAGATGGGCAGCAATAAAGATTACCTACACTTCATGCATGGATAAGAATGAATAAGATTCATGCAAGGATAAGATTCTTTGAATGTCATTTATATTTCAGATAAAACTCAATTTTTTTCAACTAATCATTATCACAACAATATAGATTTTTCGTTTTTTTTTATTTTTTTATTATGTAGTTATCAAGGTGCTTCCAGAAGTCCTTACAGTCTCATTACAGAGTACTGCAGAGAAGCATTTAACTAGAAAATTCAGGCCTCCTTCCTAACAAATATTGCTTATTGGTCTGGAGTCGTCGTTAAACCTGGGACCTCTGAGTTCTGAACCAGAACTCTAACCATTGTACCACGGCTGCATTAGTTATATTTATGAATGGTAATGTACTCAATAAGTCATCTATCCTTTGTCTTCTAGGATTAACTCTTACTTCAAATCTTCCTTGGAAACCATATATCAAATCCATTGCAAAATTAGCTAGTAGTTAAACCACAAAAACGCAAATTAAAAGACTAAAATGTTTTTAAAAACATTCTGAATGTTTTTATTTTGTTTTTTAAAAATAAAAGCTTTTTGAATGTTTTTATTTTGTTTTTTAAAAATAAAAACATTCAGAATGTTTTTATTTTTATTTTTTAACTGTAAAACATGTGCGGAATGTTGCTACACCAACTATCTTATAACCTGACTTGCAATGGAATGCTGCTACATCGACATAAAACTCTATTTGTCTTACTGTGTGGTGTCACTATGTGATGTGAGGCATCATAGCATGTAAGTATAATAGTGCATAGAATTTCAAACTATAGTCTTTGGAAGTGTATAACTTTTCTAAAAAGCAATTTTTCAAAAAAGGATAAACATTGTTAGCTCAAAAGTTTAGTTCTGAATTAGCTGATTCTAAAGAATTTGCAATAATCTTGGTGCTGCTCGATAGAGATTTCTTCAACAGTAGTTTGGCCACACTAATGTTGGCTTTTTTTAAACAGTTGTTATTCTATTTTTAGCATTCTTTATCACACTTCATTGTTTTTAAATTTCTTTGAAATTGGTTTAACTTTTAGCATTGCTAGTGCTACTGCAGCAAGGTTTAATGTCTCACCGTGGACTAATGCCACTGCTGTCAGTTTTTTTACTTCTTACCACTATTTGGGTAAGGTAAAGGTTCCTGTGTGGGAAAACTTTTTTACACAGGAGTTCTTTAAAATTTGTTTATAGAAATTTTGAAGGTTTTTTTAAATTTCATTGAGTTCATGTTACACAGTCTCAAGTAGTGGATGCATAAAGATCCATAAAGTGGATCTTTATGCATCCATTTTTATGCAAAATTTCTAGACATTACTTAATTAGACATGAAAGAAGATTATAATATACCAGGTGGATAAATATAATCTTTATAGCAGTATGACAGCTGCACTAAAAAACCCATCAGATAAAAATTTTAGCATAATTGTTGAGTTCATATGCACAATGAGGCAATAGTGGCTTTTAAGACAGATTTATCTATTGATACTAGTTAATATATCTGCTTAAAAAAATCGGAAAGCAAGTTAAGAGTATGGGTATTGAAGAGCAGAATAGATTCTGATCCATACTCAACCAGTTGGGACCTAACTGTTATGATCAGTTGTTATGCAATAATAAACTTTTTTACTACTCAAAAAGTGAGGTCGTCACAGAAGTAAATTTATCTTCAAATTTATCTTTTTATTTTTAGTTTATTTAAAAAAATTTTAAAAGGTACTTTAACCTCAAGTTATAAAGATTGATAAACTCAAACATATCCGGTCACAACCATTTTCACACTTTTTAAGTTTTATTCTTTAAAACTAGTAGCTATTGTTTGAAACCATTGAAAGCTATTTGAAAGCTATTTTTTGAAATCTCACAACCATTTTTTGTGCAAATACTTTACAATCACTCTTATAAAAATTATAAACAAATTTGTGAGCTAACTTGAATATAGCAAGAATACCATTTTTGAATACTTTTTAGGCGATGAAATCCCACTTAATATATATATATTTGACTAAATACATCATGAAAACTATTTTAAAAATTGTTGAAGCATTTGTCACATGACAGTTATTGGGTTCTCTCTGCTTTTTTTTCATGTTATAAGAATTTAGCAATTAAAGTTTTTATTATTAATAACAAAAACAAACAATTTAAAAGTTGTATAAATAATCTTAAAAGTTTAATCAAAAAATATAAATAACGTAAACTGTGTTACATTATGTTACATAAACTGTGTTACATTATGTTACATAAATAACATAAACTGTGTATAGTTTATAATTGTGTCAAATTATTATATATGTATATATACAGCCCGATCTTATATATCGGTGCCGGTCTTTAAGGAGAATATATTATGAACACAACATGGCGCTACGAGTATGTAAAGAAACGTGAAAAAACGTTTTGGTTTAAAGATTATCATTTTTAATCTTTTGAACCGTTGCATTAAAATAAATAAAAAATGACAGAAAGTGGTAAGGGAGATGTTTTTCCTCCAATGTTAGATTTAACTGTAGATAGATTCGCTGCATTTCGCTCTTGGATTGAGAAATGGCATGATTATATTTTGTTGTCAGATTTAGAAAAGAAACCACCAGCATATCAAGCTGCTATATTAAGATATACTTTTTCTTCAGAAACTCGAAACATTTACGAATCATTAAATCTAACCAAATATGAAAAAACGGATCCAGCTATTGTATTGGAAAAAATGGAAGTGTTTGCTAAAGGATTTTATTTATGAGACTTTAGAAAGACATAAATATTTTAAACGTTTTCAAGAAGATGGTGAATGCTTTGATGATTTCTTAACCGAAGTAAAATTACTAAGTAAAAATTGCAACTTTTGCAAAACTGAAGACTGTTTTGGCAGTTTATTAAGAGATAAAATTGTATATGGAATACGGTGTGACAAAGTACGTGAGAAATTACTTTCTGAAAAAACTTTGACACTCGATAAAGCAGTAGAAATTTGTCGTTTATCAGAAAAAGCACAAGATGGTGTATCTGAATTGCGAAACAATAACAGTGAAAGTGTTGACCGCATTGGAAAACAATTGTACAGTAAAAACAAATTTAATTCACCCACACAGAACAGTAATGATAGAGATTTTAAATTTAACTCATTGCTATGTAAATTTTGTTTAAAATAGCATCCTTTTATGCGGGGATCGTGTCCAGCCTTGGGTAAAAAGTGCAGAGACTGTAAAATTATGAATCACTTCTCAAATAGTTCAGTTTGCCTAAAAACAAAGCCAAATATTCCTGATACATGTGTTGATCAACAGAATGATAGTAAGAATTCGTCAAGTATGCAACATCTTGGTGCATTGTTTTTAGAAATAGTCGGAGCAGATTGTGCTGAAAGACTTTGGGAAATACAGTTAAAAGTAAAATATGGAAAAATAACATTTAAAATTGACACAGGCGGAGGTAACAGTTATAGGAACTAACCATTTAAAAAAGGTTGGAATTAAAATTGAGCATTTATACACTACTATAAAGAGATGTGTGTTATCAAAATAGTAGAACAACCTACAGATTGGTGTCATCCAATAGTAGTTGTGAAAAAACCAAATGGACTACTTCGTATTTGTATTGATTTAACACAGTTAAACAAACACACCAAATGTGAATTCTATGAACTGCCAAGTGTAGACGATACATTGACCCAACTTGGAAACAGATGTAAATATTTGGCAAAGTTAGACGCTAACTCAGGATATTGGCAGTTACCAATGGATATTGAAAGTAACCAATCCACCCATTTTGGCTCACTACGATGTTAAAAAACCTGTAAAAGTAAGAACAGATGGAAGTTTATTAAATGGACTTAGCGTAATAGTTTACCAGAATCATAATGGTATATACAAACCAATTGATTGTGCATCTAAGTTTCTTACGACAACTGAAAAAAATTATTATCAGATCGAAATGGAAATGTTAGCAGTAACATGGGGGTGCACACAAATGTCTAAATATTTGTATGGTTTACCAAATTTTATATTAGAAACAGATCACAAACCATTAATTCCAATATTAAATTATCGTTCACTTATTGATATGTCTCCAAGAATTCAACGTTTAAGAATGAAGTTATTAAGATTTTCATTTTCTGCAGAGCATGTTGCTGGCAAGTCTATTACTGATGCAGATGCAATGTTTCGTGCACTTGTATCTAATCTTACAAAAGAAGATGAGATTGCAGAAAATGATCTGAATGTGTATGTTAATTCTATAATATGTAATATATATAATAAAAAGTATGCCTGCTACAGAGAGTCGTTTAGAAGAGATTAAGCAAAAAACTGCGGAAGATAAACTTTTAAACCAATTGCAAGAAAGTATAATTTCTGGATGGCCAAATTCAAAAAAATACTGTCCGGCAAATATCCAATCTTATTGGGATTTTAAAGATGAAATATTTAAAATTGATGGACTCTTGTTATATCACA